AGGGGGGAGGTGCCAAAATACGCAATCGTAACCCCGTGTATGAAAATCCACTTTTTTAGCAAGAAAACAGTAAGAATATACAGATGTTTACAGGGAGGTAAATACACTGAATTCCAAATAAACAATTTCCAAGTAAGATCTTTTTTTCTTAAACTTCAAATTTCAGCAAAGAATCATCCTCTATGCACAGGCCAAAACCGTCTTCTGAAGATTATAAAATAAGAGTCACATGTATTTCTTAGCCAAGAAAGCATTACCTTCTTCTTAAGGTAAACCCCCCTCATTAATGGATGAGTTTACTCTTTTCATTAACCATGTCCTGATGAAGCAGTCAGATAAATGAAGCAGACAGAAAAAAAAGGAGACGCTTCTAGGGGAAGACTTGGATTTAGGAAGGTCAGAGCTACAGCAGGTGGTTTTACTTTATCATCTTGGCACTTGTGCCCAGGCTGCCTCAAATGACACGGCTGAAGCCTTTCAGTCCATGGCTGCTCTCATACAAAGAGCAAAATCAAACTGCACCAACAGCTCAGGTGGAGTTTCCCCACTTCCTTTTGAATGCACCTCAGGGTAAGAAGAAGGGGACAAGGACAAGGGCCAGGGCAAGACAGGCAGAATAGGACCTCTTCTTTGCTTTCTATTTCCTAGAGAGAATAGGGAATTATAAGCCCCAGAATGATATGGGCTTGGAAGGGACCTCTGGAGATCATCTACGGAGCCCCACGAGGATGATTTTTATCACACCCCTCCCACCTTGTTCATCACACACCTGGGACAAGTTGCATCCCAGGGATGCTAAGGCAAAAAAGAATCCCCCAAACCCCACAATCCCAAAATCATTTAAGACCTCGAAGTCATCACACAAGTGAAATTTAAAGGCTCATATTGTATTATGAAACCGAGGTACCTACAGCACTCCTAAAGAGCACAGATGTCCCACTAAACCTGAGCCTCAGAAGCCCTCTTCTAACCTCTGGTGGCTTGGGTAGGTAACCAACAGGTGTCTTCACAGGAGCTTGACACAAGCTACAGGTGCTGTGACCTTATCCATCCAGCACACACTCACAGCTACTGTCATTCCCATGGCATTTAGTGCTGGTGGTTCCCCTCCTTCATATAGTACCAGACATAGGCAGAGCACTTCTAAGGTCAACTACCATGCACCAAGTCTAACTAAGTCATGCCAACCCCACCTCTGCCTCCCCAGAGGGTGACAACCCCCAGAACAGACACCTACAATAGGCATTTTTCTCCCAGCTCACCCATGGCCATCCCTATAGTGGAAAAAAAATACAATTCCTTCAAAGTGACCTGTGGCTCTTCGAACTTGGAAAGGAATGACCCAGATTCTTCAGTCATTTCTGGCTTTGAACTGACAACTCTTTGGTGTAAAACAAACGGGAAGTTCTCATTTCCAGTTAAATTTCCGACCCCTGATGATATAATCCTACTCAAAAGTGGTGAAGGCGTGTTTGAAGCCAAATCAAAACTCCGTAAAATTAATTGTAATTGTCTCCAAATAGTCGATCTGTGCCTCAGTTTTCTTGAGTTACACCAGAGCCAACCTGAACAAAACGATCAAAGCTGCACAAGAAAGACAGCGACACAAGAAAATAAAGAAGTCACAAAGTTGATTTTTTTTTCTTAGAAATATATTTTGTAAGAAAACAATATTAACATTAAAAAGAAATGTTTATTATACAGTATAAAATAATTGCTTGAATTCAACTCAGTTCCTTATACATATATAAAAAAAAAAAGCCTGAGGATTTGGTATAGAAGCCTCAATTCTTACAGATTTGAGTCTTTCGCCTCCTGTGATTCCTACCGCATTAAAGGGTGAGTTTTCCCCACGTCATCCTTAGAGCACCCAGACAAACACCCCTCAAACCTCCCTCATTCCTAAAATAACCTTGCCCAGATGTGCTCTAAGGGATCCCCCATCCCCATTCTACATCCCCCCCATACCCACCCTCAGATTCCATCCACCTACCTCTTTTGGCCAAGCATCTACACAAGCGACAACACCGGTTGCAGCTAGCTCGGAGCCTCCCCGTATTAATTGGTTGGCTAATTATGAACAGTGGCCAGCCACTGCCAAACAATGTATAAAGGCTGAGCTGTTCTCAGCTGTCTGTTCCCACAAAAACCTGTAAGAGCATCTCAACGCTGCCGTTCACCTGCCAAATCCGGCAGCAACGTGCAGAGCTCCTAAAAGCTCCAAGGGGAGACAAGGACAGGCAATGCAATGACATAAGCTTCACTTTTTTTTGGGAAACTAAGCTAAAAAAGTCATTACTCAACTGCAGAATTTACAACTTGCAGATTTTGTTGTAGGAAAATACGCCTGTTCAGTAACTATAAATACCCCTAATGCATTTCTGTGGCTTATTACATACTAATTTTTTTATTTACTTCTTTTTTGGGTAATGCCAAGCTTTGGAATGTCAATTACCCTCCAGGTTTGAAAGGCACCCAGTGACCAGCATTCTGGTGTAATTATTCATGACATTGGTGTGATTTACCTCCCCCCTCCCAATAACACTGACAAGTTTAACAGAAATCTATTAAGTTAAAAAGAACAAAGATATATATATTACATTTGCTAATTGCAAACAACCTCTTTTAGCTGCAATTTTTCCCATTGGGATTAAAAAGTGCACCAGTTTAACATGTCTGTACATTAAAAACAGTTTAAAACATTAAATATACAAACAGCAAGAGATTTTAAATATTTTGTATCAAATACTATAGGACAATATAATTTACATTTTTTTTTAACACAAAACATTACACCTGAAATATAACTTTAGATATTACAGAATATAAAAATACATACTTTTCGTCTAAAAAATGTCTTTGCAGGTCCTGGCACGACGTAATACTTTTAAGGCACACTGTATTTTGGCCATCTATATTTGCAATTAACTGTGCAACGATAATAAAAATGACCTGTAATTAACCTTTTAGAACTGCAAGGCCAGATGATCTCCCTTCTTCCTGGAATACCCTTTTAACCAGGTAAAAACTGAAGTTGAACCATTAAGGTGTTTCTGTGACTCACTTTGGCCAGAGCCTGAGCTCTCCAACCCTAATCCAGCAAAGCAAGAAGAGGCTTAATTAAGCATGTGAAAAGCCACATCAAGTGCAACGGGATTAGTCACACTCTCACAATCTTTGCTGTCTCAGGGTCAGAAGGCTCAACCCCAAGCAAAACTGAGCCCTACAATGCAAGTTGGGAACCAAGTTCTGTCCTGCCCTACATTTGTGCCAAAACTAGTAAGAGTAGCACGGGTTAAAAAGTCAGGGCGGAACTTGGAAACAGAAATTCAATAATATTAATTGCTCTGATTTCAACTACACCAATGAAAAAGTCATAATGACTCTACTGAAGGCAGTGGAGACATATGGAGTAAAACTGCTATAAGACAGAATTGGGAGAACTATGTCATTTTGTCCCTCTGTGCACTTGTGCTGGAGTCAGCACAGGGCAAAAAATGCGTCTTTAGATACATAAGGCTTATACAGATGCAATTGGGTTGCAAAAGATTTTCAGTTCTAGCTTCAAGTTGTTTCTGGACCACTAAAAGCCCAAACAATTTTCAGCATACTAAAAAAAATTTCAATCTAAATCCCTTACTTTAAACGCCCCAAAATAAGTTGCTTCTTGTGACGAATCCAGTAGCAATGGGTTTGATACCTGGATACTTATCATTTCACCGGATTTTAATTTAAAAAACCCTCCAACATTGACAGAATAAAAATGAAATTCTGAATTCCCTGACCAGTATTTGGTGCTTCCTCCCTTCATCAACACATCAGAGCGCCTTATTTTAAGGTTTGTCTTAATCATATATACCATCAGCTGAAGCCCTCTTTTAGTCAGGTTTCCTGAAGTTTCGTGATGTCTAAAACAAATGTTGGCATAAAGGTAGTAAAATCCGTCTTGATTAACAATTAGTTTTCCATCATTGAATGTCATATTGGATAAGTTGGCCTGGCCTTTGTCGTGATGCCAGGATGTGAGGTTCACTTTGCGAGTTCCTGAAGAGAAGAGGGGGAAAAAAAAGTACAATTATTTATAAACATTTAGCAAACCTCAACATTTAAAAAGCAATCTCTAGGTTTTTAGAATCAATAGCAACTACACTATTGCCTAAAGTGAATATTAGGCAATTGTGGAAAAAAATCGTAAGACATTTCCTTTTTTCATCCTGCACTGTCCCATTTGGCTTGTTGTTTGTAACTGTCCTCCCACCAGAACATCTGCTGGACCATGGTACAAAACACCTGCTTGGACAATAGTTTGATTACGCTACGCAACCACACAACAAGCTCTGTATAGGAATTGTGTTCCACCTGAAACTTTATTCAAGAAGTAAATACTTGAGAGGAAGTTAAAATGAAAAAATTACTAGTGAAAAGCCAGCAAATCTTGTTATCAGTCTGTAACCTGTGTCTTCAAAAAATAACTAAACAAAATCTGCAAAGAAGTTAAACTGATAATTCCCTCAAGAAAAAGCTTACAAAACCTTCCCATATTTTATGTTCTTGTAATGGTACACAAAGGTAAACATATTTGCATTTGAGAACATGAAAAAAATGGGGGGAAAGTCAGGATAATTGTGCATCTTTGGTATTACACAGTAAGTTGCCTAGACTTTAGATAGCACTTAAATTATGACATAACAAACCTTTTTATGCAAAAAGCATGCTTAGACTTAACCCAGTGCTTGCATGTACCAGAATAAGGCTCCACGATCTGGTTTAGTCATATCCTAGGTATCTAGGATAGTGGTCCATAGCACAATTCTAGACATTTGATAATTGTACAAAAACTTATAGCTGGGCAATTATAGCTATTTGGAAAGTAAACTCAGATTCTTTGTCTGAGATCTAGAGGAAGATCTTGGAAAAAGAGCTTTAGGAAGACAGCTGTGATTATGGATGCACTGGTGGTTTTTTGTTGGTGGTTTTTTTATTCCTTTCTTCTTGCATTTGTATATATGTATCTTCAGTTTCAAACTAGAAACAATATGTTGATATTCCATGCTTGGAGAAGAACAATCCCCTTCAATTTGTCTTAAGGTGGAGATCCACAGATTAGGAAAGAAAATTAAGATAATATTCTCTCCGTCTCTCCGTAGAACAACACACATGTTGGAATCAAAACACACGTACAGCAGTTACTAAGTCTGACTACCAAAAAGACAGATTAATAGAATTAACATATGTCTTCAAGCATTATTGGATTACTTCTAACAGGTAAGCCTTTTCAGTCCTGCCTGCCTGATGGTAAACAGGAAGCTGTCCCTTATCTGCTAAGGTGACGGAATGCTCTGTGAAGAGAACAAAAAAAGAGCTGAGAGGCTGGAGATGTGTTGATTAGTTTGTCGGCTCAGCACTGCCACTGAAAGCTTGTACCACATACACAGGTACAAGTGTCCCCAGGAACTCCAGACTGAAAAGCACCTCCTGGGTACTATTCTTCATTGAGAGAGTGGTCGGTCACTCACTGGAACAGGCTCCCCAGAGAAGTGGTCACAGCACTTGCCAAGAGTTCATGGAGTGTCTGGACAACATTCTTAGTCATAGGGTTAGTTTTAGGTAGTCCTGCGAGGAGCAGGGAGTTGGACTCGATGATCCTTATAGGTCCCTTCCAATTCAAGATACTCTACGACTCCATCAGTAAGGCTGTGAGAAGAGCTGGCCTGGCAGGAGGTCAGACAGGCATTGAGAGAGAAAGCATCTGAGCCTGCCTGCCCAACCTGGACACTGACTTCAAGTTTGGTTTTGGTGGCAGAGTGTTAAGTAGCAGCCTGCAACATGAGCCCAAATAGCATTGCTACTACAGCACGTGTATTATGCAGAGGTTTGTCACAGCATTGTCTGTTGAGGAGCAAGCCTTGCAGCACACCTGCCATACTCTCTTCCACCTCATTGGTGTCACCACCATCCCATTACAGCACCCACCTCATCTCCCAGCCTCTGCCTGCAAAGACAGAGGAACAGGCAACAGTGGGAGGAGAAGATCCAGCCAAAGCCCACGGTCATGCCCACACGGAGTAAACAGCACTGTCCTGAGAAAGCCACACGAGCCCTGACCCTTCCTGATATGCACAAGCCACTAACACCCTAATAATTACTCAGTGTAATACACAGGGCATAAAACACAACAGATGAGAGTTGGCCAACTTGTCCTCCTAACCACCAGCAATTTTCAGAGCACGAGACTAATTGCATTTTCTCCCTTTGAGGTACTCACAGCAGTGGGTCTGCAGAGACACCAGAAGACCTTACACCTTAGACTGCCAGTGCATCTAAATGTCTGCTTGGAATATTCAGTACCTTACTCTCCCAACATCATAGAAGGGTTTGGACTGGAAGGGACTAAAGATTATCTAGTTCCAACTACATGGGACAGGGACACCTCCCACTAAGCCAGCTTGCTCAAGGCCCCATGCAACCTGGCCTTGAACAATTCCCAAAACAATCTACTCCTACCAAAATTTCCATGGCATGGGGCAGGGCCCAGTGCCCTCTCTGTCCAAGGGTGTATGAAGGCATGCCCCATAACCCCCAGTGCTCACAAGAGTGCTGGGGAAAAGCCCCAGGTCTATTTGATTAGTTAAAAAGATGCCTCCTGGATTTGTTTGTGCAGAAAAACATATGGGGGCACAGGGACAGGGGAATTTGAGAGCAATGAGTCTTCTCTAACTGCCAAGGGCAAGCAACTTCTGCATGTGAGAGGAATACTTTAATACTAGTCCAGAACAAAAAGCTTCTGGCACTTTTCCACAAAGACTTGAGCAAAACAAAGGCTGTCAAAGGCAGATCATAAATAGTTGCTCCCCTATGGCTTCAGAACAGTCAGGTAGAAATTATACAAGCAAAATCATACAGAGAAGCTGTCTTCTGTGCAGTGCCTCAAAAAAACTGCTGAAAACCATCAATTAATTGGAAGTGACACTAAGGTCTTAAGTCTCTTAGCCTGGAATTATTCACCTGCAAGAGATGCTGAGTTAGGGTACACCTCTGAAGCACTGGGGACAGTCGAGGAAGTTGTAGAACTTCTTGTGATCAGTGTTAAGTCTGCCAGAAATACTGCCCCAAGGAGTGTGGGCTACCTTCAAGGTAAGGAGGACAGGCAAGAAACCACTGCTTGGATCAGAGGAAAGGCACATCGGAGATACGGGACAGGAATGTATACATACAGAACAAAAAAGCTTACTGGCATGTGGTGGCACACTGGGTAGCTGCTAGCCAGATTTTTATTTACCTGGCAAGTAAACTTTTTAGTTGCTACTTGATTAAGACTAGCAATTTTGAAGAAATCCTTAGGAGGAATGCACGATTCTCTGCTGAAGAAGGGGGAAGAGAGAAAATAGGTGCCACGGTTGCTCGTGATTGAGATGCTGAGAGGGGCTCTGGGTGAAGTCTGGTCACACTGTTTTGGTGTTGCGGGCAATCTGCACTATTCGTCCATGGAGAGGTGGATGGTCAGGCCAAGAGATGATGGAAGATGACCATATATCTGTTTTGAGCAGGGAATTAGCCTAGGTAACTGAGGCAGATGGGCATTTTGCCAGAGCTTCAGAAGAGGCCACAGACAGCAGCACAGCACAAAGATGCGTTGGTAGGAGTTATGCCATGCAACCAAGGAGTGAGCAGGCTCTCAGCACTGTGGGTGGTAATACACCCAAATTTGGACACACCAAAACAATCAGTAGCTCTAAACACAGGCAGAGGAGAAAACTGGAGCATACAAGTGCCAAATCAGCTGTCCAATATATCAGAAACTCTGAAATATAATCCAAGCCATGGGACAGTCAGAAATGCTGCAATATAGTATCTTCTGTGATAAAACTTAACTATGGAGCCATGAAAAAAACAGCACAAGGCAATTCATGTTGAGAGAGAAGGAAGAGGTCAGAGAGAAAATGAGCCAGATAATGCTTTTTACCATGTCTGGAAGGTTAACAAAAAAGTGAAGATAATACACAGTTTTTCTGGTAACTGAAGACAAATCAAAACAGTGTCTTGGATATTTGTGAGCATGAACTAAGACAAACAGAACTGAGTTTCAATAAAATTAATGAGTAAGAAGGAAGACGATGGGAGGGGGACAGTGCAGAAAGTAGCCCTGTGTCAGTAATTTGTTTGCCTTCTAGTAGCTTTCGGGTATAAATAAAGCCTGAGGGAAGGACCAAAGCACTGTTTGCTCTGCAAAACTGCTCTGGAGGCAAAGGGCAGCCAAGCTGAACCTGTAGCTGTAAATAGCTCAGAATACTACAGCGTTTCCTTAGACAGCTAAAGGTATCAATTCACATCCCAAACAGTATATTTAACATTTAAATTTATTTCTCTTTGCGATTTTTCTCCTTTAAATTGTGACTAATTTCTGCAATCAATTTATAAAAGAAAATTCACTGTTTTCATTTAAAACCCAGTTAGCATTTATAGTGAGCTCTGGTAAAAAGCAACCAGGAAGCATCCAGCTTTAACCTAAGGCAGCAAACCTAAAAAATACACACAGCAAGCCAAACCACTACGGCTTCTGCAGCCAAATGATGGGTGGAGACACCAAGATCTAGGAAGGGTTATTTTTTCCCCTCCCTCACACTCCCCCCAGCTGCAAAAGTCCATTTGGGGCTTGATATTATTGTGAGTCAGATAAAAGGAAAATTTTCCCTCACATACACTGCTCAGTGACCCTTCATGAAGGGTGTTCAGTGGCAAACTACTTAAAATAAAATCCTGTTTGACAATGATGAAGATTGATTTTTTTTTTTTGTTGTTTCCTGACATTATCTATTTTGGGTCAGAGTGATGACAGTAGAGAACCTTAAAATACTAAGACCAGATCTGTCCAGACTCATGAATGGCATAAAACAATTCAGCAGTATTTCAGACATGCAGGGTAAGGAATCAGGGGAAGAAAATAGAACTTGCCACTTGCAGTCAGAGGAAACAGGACGGGAGAGAAAAATCTCCTGGTGACCCTCAGGCAAATTTTTTGTCCTTTATGCCTGTCATTAACCTCTATGCCACCCTGTCAGGTGGATACTGCCTCATACCAGTGAGCATGATACTACAGTGCCCCACAACCAGTAAATTCAGGGTTCCAGTTATCCATAAGGATGCAGCCCCTCACTGCTGCAATGTCCACAAGGACTGTAGAAGCTGTGTGCGTAATCAACACCCTGGCCATGTTCTTCCAAAGCAGGGAGAAGCCATATGGGCCAGATCAGGAGGGAGCATGTCCAACTCATCATGCTGGTAAGGGGTTGATCTGCTCCAAGGAGAAACAAAGCAGCTTCTTTTCACAGGCACTGTATTTCTTAGAGTTACAGCAGCCTGTGCTATTAAAAAAAAAAAGTGAAGAGAGCAAGCAAGAGCAATGCCTCCCTTGCCATTACCCACAGATGTGTAACTTCACTCCCGAGAAGGTTAATGCAGTGATGCACAACAGTAAAAATTATCAGCTGCCAGCCCTGATAAAAATACAGTTTACAGCAACACCCCCCACAGGAAGAGGTGGATTTTTCATAAAGTGTGACACTTACACACCCCACTTCTGTAAATATAAGTGATCTGTCTCTGTGATTAGCAAATGAACTGAATCCTTCCAAAGACAAAATGCTAAGACAAGTGCACTGATACTGCATCTTCTGCTATTGATCTATGTCAAAAGCCAAAATCTGACTGAAATAGAAGCTTGTCAAGAAGTATTTGAGCTACTAAGAAAGCTTGTAGAAGTTCTGACTCCTACCTGACAAGCTGCTAAATCTCTCTGCTTATACAGCTCTGGATCTTGGCAATGCCAATGCACTTGAAGGGAGAAAGAATCCTGTCCCTCCAGGCAAGAAGCTAACTCCTTGTGTACAGAACTGCTTTGTCTTTAAATAGAACAGGAGCAAGGTATTACTACGCAGGCTGCTAAAATCTCAGATTTCAAGCCTCAACGCAGCATTCCCCTTTGGTTTGGTTACATAAAACAGAAAAGCAATGCACATAGCTTAATTAACAAGGAGTTCAGCACTGCAGAATGTACACATCTTCAGAGGAAGAAGACAGTGGCGATCAATCCCCCCCTCCTATCTTGAGATTCTCTACCCAAATAGCTTCAGAATAAACTCTGGTTTACTTCTACCACACCAATGATGATTGTTGTGTTGAGAATACAGAAAGAAAAATCTCCACTGACAGTGCCCCAGGGCAAAGAAAGAAACAGTACTGAGACATCCTAAAATTGCAGGAATGAATCTTTTCCCCTGGAGAGTGTTCCAAGACAGTCTTGTTACCTCATATTGTACTAGTGAGGATATTCCCACAGCTATCCAAAGATACCTGTGGGTACAGAACAAGACCTCTGGCAAGATAAAAGAATGCCACCCTCTTACCAGAGGGGCAGATAAAAGCCACAGGAACATTTTTTCCTTTCCCTACTCAATAGGTCAGAAACATACTGTATCCAAATCAACAAGTCTTGATGTGAAGAAGTCTATACCAGCCCCGAAACACAATAATGAATGGAATATGACAAAACCTTTTCACCATGCCATTAGAAGAAGGAAACCTTTGCTATAAATTCATATGAGAGTGCAATGTACCCACAGGGGGCAAGGAACTAGCAGGCAAGTTATAATAATGACACTGGGACTGTAGTTCTAGGTTTTCAACACCTCAAAATGAAAAATGTGCTTCCTTTATGGCAGGTTCTTACACTGATGGGCACCTGACATGCATGTGTATTATGTATTCATAGAAGATCCTCAGTTTCCAGATCCACCCTGAGGACAAATGCTGTACATTTGTCTGGGTGCTGACACCCAGTACAGACGTGACTACACTTCAGCACACAAAAGGAGTGTTGCTGTGAAGGGCTGGATAGGTGGACACAAAACATTCTTGAATTTTACAACAGAAAACAACACATTTCTTCATCTGACAACAGGACTTAAAAATCTTAGACTCAGTGGAAGGGAAACATCTTCCGACCTGCAAGATGTGGATTCTGGGCAATCTTTATGCTGGTATATCCTTGTATGTATGCATACATCTATGTATATATCTGTACACCTATGTATAACTGATGTCCAAGGTAAGTGAAGAACTCCAGATGGGCCTGCTAGCCTAAGAAAACAAACTTCAAAGGAAAGCATTCAATGCATATCTTCATTCTTCACCTGAAGACAGCAGAAAGAGGCAGACCAAGCCACAGACCTTGATCTTGAAAACTGGTCATTTGAAATGGAGGCCATTCAGAACATAACAGACTGGTGCAGGACACCTGAGGCAAAGGGGAGCGATCCTCCTGTTAACATTACCCCTGCTGTCTCACAAATCCCTTAACACATCCAATTTGTTTTCGTTATCAAAAGCGATTTCTGAAATCCAGTCTGTTGCTGGTATTGCTGAACTATTTTCATACACTTCGCTGTTTAATCATTTATAGTAGCATTGGGAGTATTCACTTAAAACTGAACTTACCAGATGGAATATTCTTATCATCAATAATGAGATGGGCAAAAGGCTGCTTCTCAGGCTTGTTTCTCTTGTACAGGTCCATCCCTAATGCCTCCATTGCAGCTAAAGATAAAAGAATCACGTTACCTCAGAAGGACAAGTTTAGCAGAACTAAAATATTTCTTACTCATAAAACAGCACCTACCTTTTTCTGGTCTTGGTGGTGCTCTTCCCATGACACGCTGGACTTCCTAAAATGAGAAAGAGACATTGCTTTGATGCTGCTTTTGGGTTTGTCACATTGTGTATTGCAGGTCCTCTGCACAATTACAACACTCTGCGTGTAGGTTTATGGGGAGGTTGTTCTACCTACAATGTATTCAGGTGCCTGGGATACAAATTCTCGTAGTTACATGCTGTATAATATGAACACACAGTTTAGCTGCAATAATCAAATTACTTCCTCTGTCCAACACATCTGATAAAGGTGCATAGGAATGATGGTGTGTATGATCACCACACTATATTGAAGTAGGAGTGACAAGACATTTACAACCTTTCCTACTTACTGAACTTGGAATATTTTTCTAAGTATAATGGAACAATGACAGGAACACATCACATAAAACAATGAACCGATTTAATTACTTGGGGTCAAAAGGTAACAAGAAGAGGCAGTTCTACACAGGGACTACTGTATAATCTCACTAAAATCTAAGGAAAGCTAAGTTCTGAATTTCATTTGTGATGGGGTAAGTTGAAACTTCCACACCTCACACTTGACCACTAACAGGGAAGGTTGCAAGACTACCAAGCTTTACAATCAAGGCTCACTTCTAACAAGGTGTGCAGGAACCAAAGGACTAAGCATCTTCCACATCTGTACTGGGCCAAAGGGATTGGGTGCCAGAGTTTGGAAGTATGCAATCTTCAAAACTGCAGATGAATTTTAACATAAATGAAACCCACATTACCCAAAGCTAAGAACAGCACAAGCAACAGACATCAGGCACCACAAAAAGCCTTGCTTTTCATAATCCACACCTGTTTTCCTCTTTACAAAACATACAAACAGCAGTTTTCAAAAAAACCTAAGGACCTTATTCTTGTTACAAGCCTGGACTGAGTCTTGGTAATACTAGGTTCAGTCCTCAGTTCTGTCACCTCTTCCCCCATGACTCTCTTCATATTTGTTTTCTAAAAAAACAGGGGTAATATTCTACTTGCTATTCAGAGTACCTCATACCACATAGCCATCAAGAAGATGATTAGTAAAATGAAATATTTTACTAAAGATAACAAATCATATCTCATCTTTGAAACCTAAGAATGGTCCTTTGTCATGTCACACCCACTGCTGTTTCTCTGATTCAATATGCAACACGCTTGAGATTTGGCCAGATCAGCAAATGTTCCACTGCGCTCTCAATCACTGTGGTGTTTTAGAATTTGAAGTCCTGCTTTGAAAACACCTAAATTCCTGCTTTTATGTAATTTTGCAGCCGCAGTGAAAACTAACGCCTTAGCTGGTGCATTTATTACTCTCACTTTCCCCTTTCAGTAGGTGTTTAAATGTTAAACCGAAATGAAAAGCCACAGCAGAATGGAAGTTGTAGTATGACTATCAAAGCGTAACACTTCAGCAGAGATATGCTGATTTTGTAGATAAGAATCATTAAGATACTTTCTGCTGTAGAGACGAGAAGAAAAGCAGAAGAATCACAACTTCAAAAGAAGCAAAACTCATGTCCACCTCCCCCATTTACATTCACTTCCCCTCTCTGATCTTTGTACTTCAATGTCAGTTCTAGGAGCATGAGAATGAAGCTCAGTTCTAGGAGCTGCACACCAGCATCAGCCTCTAGCCACACTTGAGCTCTTTAACTTCTTCAGAAGTAGGAAGACAACAAAATAATTCCAAGTACTAGATACTGCAAAAAGTGACAAATGCCTCTGAAAAGAAGACGGCGAACTGGGAGATGGATCACAGTCTCAGAGACTACTGCACCACACCTGCTCCCAACCCTTTCCCTAGAAAGGGGAAACTCCTTTGTTTTCTTGCTTTCTTAATGGAAGCTTCTCAGATCTGGAGTCTGCTTTCGTATCCTTCTGGGGGATGCGATAAGGCAGAGAGCCTGGAGAGCCTACTGGGCAGATCCAAAAAGAGCTATGTACATTTTAATCTCCTGCTATCTAAATCAGTACTAAAAAAAATCCCATAGTTGGTAACTGCACAGCCCTTGCAGGCCCTCCCTGAACTGGCCAGTCGCTATCCTCCTCTTAAACTACATTTTTTTTTCTCAGGAGTATGGAGTTCTGCTACTGCACATTTCCAAAGATGCTTCAGCTTGAGCAGCTGGGTATCTCCCCTTCTGAGATCTGGCAGCCTGACTCAGCTTATCTTCCATGCGGACAGGCTGGCGTCTGAGCTGCTGACTTTCTAACTGTTGGTGGTGCTGTTCATCTGCAACATCTCCGCTTGGTCAGCGGAACAGCTACCCAGGAAGACTTGGGCCCACAACTCTCCTTGTCCTGATGGTCTTGAGCCCACTTTTCTGTTTCCTGGGAGCATTTCTCTCCAGCAGAAACGCTCTCCTACACTCCTCTTGAAGCTATGCTACTATGCAATTAGGAATGGAAGTGTCATTACAACAAAAGTGAGATTATAAGCGTGAGCCCAACACCGACACACTGAAAAGAGACTGGCTCATGTTAATTGACTCTTCCAAATGCTTGTCACTGGATTAGAAGTGGCAAGCCTGTGGCCAGAAAACAGAAATACTCCATCAGCTGAATTCTTCCAACACTGGACTACTGTCAAGTCCTTCACTCAGTTCTGACCAGCCCCACAAAATTTTGACATTGCTTTCTGTTCTGTTGCCTAGGCTTCCAGAAGGAAGCTAAAAACACAGGAGCTACTCCCTAGACAACAGAGACAGAGCTGCGGGTTTCCTCCTGAGGGATATGTAGTTCAACACTGCTCTTGATCTTTATTTTACTTCATGTCTCTGAAGTTCCAAGGTGCTGATACACAACCTACCTTAGAAAAGCATTTTAGCATGGACTTCTAACCCTGAAGGCCTCAAGGACCATGTGTTTCAGCGGATGTCTAAAGATATCCAGATATATAAAGCTGGCCTTCTAGTGGGATTATAAAAATCCCCTGGAGTGCAAGGAATTAAAAGCTAGGATTTTCCAAATCTTTAAAGTATCAGCTGCACTCTTTAGCACCTGAATGTCTTTAAGCATCTCATACTTAATGACAACATACACTACCATTAAGAAAGCAGGAACAGCTCAACAGAACCTGTCACTAAGACACTGCTATGACACGCGAACTGCTGACAAAATATTACCAGTGACTTCTCTTACGACTTCCACCCACAGAACCATGTGCACTACCAAGCTGTTGAGCTATTTTTAGAAAAACTGTACACAAAAATCACACCACTCTGTTAGTCTTATGAATAAGCTGCACTTGTACACCTTCGCATCTTTTGCTCGCTGCCCATCAAGTCAGCTCTGCTGGCCTGCCTCCCACATTCCAGCCTCCTTCATACAGCCACTGTTTAAACATCAGACAAGCAGCCAGTCACAAAAATGAAAAATGTGTCTCCCATCACCAAAAAAAAAAATTTAGATGCCATTGGGAAGCTGCAAAACTTTCACATTTTAAAAGCTAAAAATCATGCTTTAAGTGCCTGGAAAGTTGGGAACTGCTCTTTCCTCATACACAGCAGGCTGTAGTTTTTAACCCTTAGTGTCTTCGAAACAAAAACAACTCTTACTCTTAAAGTTATGACCAATATCGAGGATGCAGAGACAAGGTTACATTTGAACACGTGACACTTGTGGATTGTTTTTCCTCTCTTTTGGCTTTTACAATACCTCAGTATCTACTTTGAGCATCTCTAAGTAGCCTTTTGAGAGCAATCAGAAGAGACACCCTCTGGAAATTCATGTATTGCTTCAGCTTTGATCTTAAAGCTCCTTTATGCACTTGCTTCTTCTACTATCTGAATGCTTTAAAGCCAGCTAATACCAGGAAGAAGTATATGATTATCTTGCTGGAAACTCAGCAATTTGAAGAACACTAATCAGAAAGGAAGTGAAATAGAACGTACATGAACCAATATTCATCAGAAGATAGTTTAGAGATCAGCACTACAACCTCTATCCAAATGAGTAGTCTATTGTCTGCAGAAAAAAAAAAAAAGAGACGTGTAAGGTTGTAAGATGGAAACTGAAATTTTAGCAATTTACAGCAATCACTCATGAAACCTTGACTTTGTCCATAATTATGTGAACTTCAAATGTCTGCTAAGTATAGAGATCTCTTTATAAGTGCTGCCCTGGAGGTGTAGCAAAGTATTCTGTTGCCCTGTGGGAGACTAGTTTATGCCTGAACTCCCCAAGCGGCTAGAAGCTCAGAGTTTTGCCAAGAAAAGTTACTTATGAATTGACCCAAGGTATGTTTGCAGTCCTTTCTACTTCAGGCTCATAACAGACTTCATAAGAAGTGTGGTTAGTGCATCTGGACTGCCAAAAGGTTTTTAAGGTTACATGCAAAAAAAATTAGGCAAACAGGCTAGGAAAGCATATCATTTGTCTCATTTAAAGTTTATATGCAATACGAGTAAGCTGCTCCCTAAGTGGTATTTTTATCCTGGAATGTTAAGCAATTCACCATTACATTTTTATTAAAATAAAATGTGTAATTTTTATTTTTTCAGGAGACAAATGTTTCTACACCTGACCTTGCAGCCCTACTACACTGGTTTTCATAACAGCACTTTCATTTTCAATGTCAATGTCAATCCCTGCTTTAGATTTAAGCACTGGGTCTACAGGTGTGCAAAGAAAACCGATGAGGACCAGCACAGTAAGCTAAAAGCTGTAACCAGACCATAAACCTGAGCAAAAGCAAGTTGTCTATTTTCATTTCCTGAACAGCTTGAATTGCAAAGGACAAAATATTGAAAAAAATCACAACATTTAAACGGTATTTTAAAGTGTTCCATTTCAGTTGCTCAGCATGCTGCCAATTCAAACAAAGATACTGGTTCTTAAGAGACACACTGGTTAGATTCTCCTTCAGGAAAGTGAAGGATGTACCATCAACAGGAAACCTATTTCAAGTCACATTAGCTGCATTCCCACACATGAAGGATTAGCACAACTGGAAGTTAAGATTCAGCTGCATCCTTGCCCTTCATTGTAGCAGAGCCAACGAAAGGCAGAGCTTACAGAACATGTTAAAGTATAGTTTTCCCTTAACACTGCTTCTTTCACTTCTCTGCTATACCTAAAAGATGCAGATGTAGGCCCAGGGAAGCATTTTCCTATTTTTCTCAGCATCATCAATATATGATGACAAAGCATCTAAAACACTGCCCCAGCTGCTTAATACATTCTGTTGCATTCAAAGGAAATTCAGAATGTGATTACTTTGGCAAGTTAAATTTTATTGTTCTCAAACTGATGGTCATCAGCCAAAAAAAAGTTATCCCTACTCACTACTTATCTTGGCCACGGACATTGCAGCATTCAACCTCCATCCAGAATGGCAGGATATGCAGCCTCAGCTAAAGCCAGTGCCTTTGTTGAGAAACCAGCAGCGAGTGACCAGAATGCAGGGCTTCCCATTCACTTACTGTAACACGCTCCTTAGTCTGTCATGGGAGCTGCATGAACCAGCAGTCTGGTGCCAGCACAAAGAGCACAGAAGTAGGCAGTGTAAAACTGTCTATAAAATGCGAGAAGATAGAACTAATCTTACAGAAATTACTTTTTTTCTTACACTTTTCAAGGAGGTGGGCTAGCAAATGGGATAAGACATGAACTCCTAGGTTTCTTTAAGTTTTGCGCGAAAAAAAGATCTGTCACTCAGGGTACTCCATTAAAAGCAAGCATTAGCAGAATTAAAGGACCATATAATTAACTCAAGTACAATTCACTCTGCAAAGTGTACATGAGTTCAGTTCAAATCTGATGTAGTATCCTTTATGAAAAACTGACAATGTTATGCAGATGAGAAGTAGTAGTAATGAATCTGGTAAGGCAGGAAAACCAAATACCATAGCAGACATTCCGCTTTTAAACAGCCCATAATTAGCACTAAACACGATCATGAACACGCAAAGATATCAAAGGCATTAACTGCAGTAAGAGGCGACTGTGACAAATATTTAGCTTGCCTAGGCTTCTTCATTAGGGCTGACTTCTTTAGCTGACTATGAGTTATTTGTGTTTGGAAACAAGCTGTCACTCAACCACGGGGCAAAGACTGCCTGGTTATCATACTATGACACAGAGTGGGTCTTCTGCTGCTGTGGGAGCGGCCTGCACAGAACAGAGAACTGGCAAAGTGAGCTAAAGTAGTAAAAGGAGATACTATCCCTCACTTCTGGGTTGCAGAAAGAGTAAGAAACAAGAGCAAATGTTATCTCCTCTGCCTTTCAGGCAATATTTTGCTTGTTGATGATATTCACTTGGAAGAATCCTGTCAGAGTCAGGAAGATTGCTTTGAAAAAAATGTGGATATGAACACCAAAAGTGCTGGCAAACCTATACAAATATTAGGACAAATGACTACCTTTCAGGCCCATCCAAATGTCAGAATGGCCAATCTAACTAACTAGTCTAACTAACTAATCTAACTGCAACCATAGTTTTCTCAGTGCAACTTAAATCTTCCTTTCTTAAAAAAAAACCCAAACATGTTTGAATACACAATTGGTTAACCACTACCAGGTTCATAAGCAAACAGCGTAAGACCTTGGATGCAACTTCAGGTGTTATCTGAACACCAGATTTCTAGAACTTACCTCTGAATATAGGCATTGCAAAAATTGTTGTAAATTCAACAGGAGCATAACAAAGGACCACGCAGTCTGTCTGCCACTTACCTTCTGCACAGCTCTTTGGAGACCCTGTTTCATGCTTCTACATGATTCTGGCATTAACTTCATTTCTTGACTTTCAAAGGATGTATCATGCAAATCTGTATTTTCTTGATGTCCAAAAAGTGTTCTGACACAGTGAGCATGTTCTTTCGAAATTCTAGTAGGGTCCATCTGAAACAAATATAAGCACAATCAAAGTTTTAAGTGTATGTTCAAGAGAGATTTAAGAGCATTTAAGTCAGGGAGCATTTTCAACCATCTAAAAGTCTGACACCTACCTAAGTTTATTATCTACACTTTCACTGTAAGCAATTAAGAGAGAAAAAGTTCTCCAGTTAGAGGTTTATTTCATCCAATAAGCATAAGAGGTAGCAGAATGGATTATCTTCTGGAGCTGCCTAGTTTATTAGCTTAGACTGGATATCTGACTTTCAAAAGTTAAAGATAAATCCCACTCTTACAGTAAAATCAATAATCCTGAATTTCATTTTTTGACCACTCAGCGCAAAATCACAATTATTTTAGCAGGCAAACATACACGGCCATCCTATTGTAAAAACTATAGTTTGCAAGATGACACACAAATGCCAACTAGATGAACTTGGGGAAAGCATGTACAACATCTAGCACATCATTTTCAAGAGGAGAAACAGAAGAACAGAAGCCAATTATCACTGAAACTATTTTGCAGGCAAGAGATATTGCTGCCTGAAACAGTCACCAAGTAAGACAGCACAAATTCAGAAAGACCAAAATATGATAAAACTGTATTACAAAGCACCTCTGCCTCAATGGGACACACACCGGTAAATCTAGAATATCTGCGAGATATTCCTAGCAACCAGCCTTTGGGATTGAATCAAATATATTTTTAAATTGTAAATTTAGAATACTCTTGAATTCTAGATAAATTGGAAGGATATTCCAAAGATTAGGATTGTGACTTAGCAGAGTTTGATTGCATAAACATTACTTAAACCATCTTACCCTCTCTCCCCACACTCCATATACTTTACAGTCAAGAGATATTAACCATTATCTTTCGGAGATGGCCTAAGACTCTCAGCAACTGTTCTCAACTGGTATTTATTCCACTTTTAATTCAGGCTTGAAGAAGGGTTTGTGCACTCAAAACCTTGTCTAAGTTCTCTAACTGTATCAGCTGGTCGAATAAAGAACATTTACTTCTTTCTGCATAAGGTGGAAGGAACAATTTTATCTGAGAATGACAAAAGTTAATACATTATTTGTAATGATGACGAGGGAATGCCAAGACATTACGGACAGCATCTAACCAGTATGAAGTTTCCTTTAAAACAGCACTGAACAAAATAGATCAAAAGGAAGTTTTGCAGAATAGAAAACATGCAGAGTGAACCAAACATGTTATATCATTTGCTCACATGAACTGCCTAACTCCCAAAAAGAAAGCAGCTAATTTAAAACCATGAGGTTAGGATTACAGAGGTGAATTTAAGTCTACACCAGCCAGGCAGCCATCCAACACGCACACACTGCAGAGAAACATTTGTTGCACAGATGGCAACACCAAATGCTGCCTCATCCATCACCATCCTTTGGCTGAAGACTCCAGATGAGAAGTGTTTCCCTGATTTCCCTCAGATCAACATCAGCCCCTGTAACCTGGTTTAGCTGCCTCAGCTACCCCTGCAGATTTGGAACTAAATAGGTCAGAATAGGTCAGAATCATGGTTTGGGTTGGAAGGAACCTTAAAGATCGAGTTCATATCCCCCTGCTGTGGGGGGGACACCTCCCACCACACCAGGTTGGCTCAAGGTTCACCTGAAGACCAGAAGATGCCATGGCTTTGAGCAGATGGGTAGAGGCGAGTTACAGAATGGCTTGTAGGAAGTAACATCTTCCTGGGGTGGCCTGACACAGCTGAATCCAAAAGAAAATCTGTGTATAGCTATTACAGCTCTATCAATAAAGCACTAAAAAGTACACTAATGACTTCTGAAGCCAGCTAGTGCAGTGCAGCCCCATTAACTGTTCCAGCTCATCTAAACCAGCACCTCTGTGCTCTCACCTTCTTCACCACAAAATGGCATTCCTGGTTCTAAACCTCCTCTTCTAAATCAATAACCTGTGAGGAATCTTTGCTGATCTAATTTCCTGAAAGACCAGATCCCTGAAACCAACTCACTTCTGGTATCAGACAAGCATCAGAGCCAGTACAGCACAGGAATGAAAGAGCAGGAAGGCAGCACAAGCTTTAACGACTGTAAAACTGCACCCTAAAAGCATCTCTCCCAGTATGTTCCACTGGTATCCAGCACCCAGAAATTCAACTGTAAACTGAAAGGAAAAAAAAAAAAATTAAGTGCTAAATGTTTACCAAGAGCTGCTAAAAGGCAGTTAATACAAAGTGATCTGGGTTGGAAGGTACCTCTGGAAGTCCCCAGTCCAGGCCCCTGCTTGAAGCCAGGGCCAACCTGTAACTTAGGTCAGGTTTGTGAAATTTCCATCAATGGAGACTTTCAGCTTCTCTGAGCAAACTCTTAACCACTTGCATTGTGTAAAAAAAATTGATTTTGATGTTCAGCTACAGTTCTTGCTGCCATTTATGACTGTGCCTCTTGTTTTTTGCTGGGCACTTCTGAAAAGCCTGGCTCCATCTTCAGGTGATTAGCTTCCCTCACCTTAGTCTGTTCTTGAGGCTCAAAGAATCCAGTTCTCCATTTCTCATACACTATGGTCTCTACCCATCACTGTGGACTTCTGTTGGACTCCTTCCAGTTTGTTGATGTATCTCTGATACACCAGGCCCCATTATTCCAGATGTAGCCTCTTCTGTTAGGACTGTTAGAGACTTGAGGGAATGAGGGTCTTCAACAGGATCTGCATGTCTCTTCCCCCCTCCACACGCACCCCAGGATAGAAGATAGAAAGCCACAGCAAATAACTGCCAGTAGATATTCAATTTTATCAGTAATACTACCAGTGAGAGACTATTGCCCCGGTTTTGGATTTATTTAAACACATCTTCTGACAAGCAGACAAGAAAACCAGGCTTCACAACACAAAGATCATGAAATTTGTAAAAGCCTGAGTGTCCAGCATGACAAATCATGCGCAGCGTAGACTTACAGCTATCACCCATCAGCAATCGGTCAAACACGTCACGCAACACTGGGCTAGAACAGTAACAGCACATCGTACAGCAGCACTTAACTGGGATTACACTTTATCTGCTCAAGGCTTAAGCCAGAAAACCAACATCTTTGCACCCACAGTGGGAAGATTGAAGGCTTAATGGAAACACCGTAACTGATAGCTTTGGCAACTTAAAGCTGTGCAGCCCATTCCGACAAACTGCAAGGCTCTAGAGATTTGGTGGTCGATAAAGTGAAGCTCTGCTCTCGGGATTAGCTAACCTGCCTGATTGCCCTTGCCTTTTTCAAAGAATACCTAGTCTTCGCCACATTTAACCATGAAAATTAGCTCACTTGCCTGAAAAGGCATTCTGAGAAATCCTGTATCTTCTATCTTTATAAAGAATGCTTACTGAACTGCCGGGGCTGTAAACAGGCAGTACCGAGCACCGAGACCAAAACTGCTGGCAAGAAGTGACGCGCAGAAAGACTTTCAAGTTTGCACGTTTTGAGAAGAACTTCTAAAGAGCCAGATGAAATACCAGAATGGCCCACAGGAATCAGCCAGCTGACTTGCCAGGCACAGAAGGTGAGCCTTTGAATAAACAGAGACATTCAGCATGAAATCCTAAATATTTAAAACCTGGAAGAAACATCTAGATGCAACCAAAAATAACAGAAAACTTTTAACGCATTAAGTAAGCTAAAGACCCTAGAGAAATTAACCTATTTAAATAGAAGAGTAGTGTCCAGCTTATGTTTCCTATGTTACTGTTCTGTATACATCCATCATGTCTGACCTTGGAATCAGATCACATTTTTTGGTGCCCCTCGATTTCCAGCATCTCTGATTGTTTAGCTGCATCTCTGGACTCCTTTCACCTAAATCAGGGCAGCCAAAATGAATTTCGGAATCATGAGGGTGACCAGATGAATTTACAGAATTAAGAAACAATTTTCTGATGTTCAAAAGATTAATTTTGATTTTTTAAGATACAATACGTGCCAGCCAACTTTACCTATTAAATATTGCCTCAACCATGCAACGTTACAGTATCACATTCTGTACTTAATCCTTACAATAAATGTTTAGCATTTATACCTGTACTTATTTTCAAACTTAAAACAACTTCCAGATTATCAAGTATCACTTTGCATTCCATGATCTTTCTTAACCACCAAAGAAGGGCTTCTTCCAGGCTTCCCAAAAGTGCTAACGACCCCTCAGCAAGCTGTTTTATGTTAGCCACTGCTCTAGCACACACATGAAACTTTAGGTGAAGTCTGAAAGGTGACTGTTTAAAAACATACTTTCATTAAAGTCAAAGTTCCACAAATGCATGAAATGACAATAAAAATCTGTCAGCCAGATATTTTTTTTATTATTATTTATATTATTAATCTGTCACCCAGTTATTCAAGGGTGAATTCTTCAGTGTGGTATGATACATAACATTTGTATAGACTTTTATTTTTTAATGGGAAAAATGATTAAGTTCAGAGTTTAAGTTTCCAGGTTGAACTATGGGAGTTAGACATCTATCCCCCACATCTGGACTGAGCTCTTCCAGCTTCTTCCACTGCACTCCAGTTCAGCCAGTGTTAACCCAAATTCCTACTCTTTTATGATCCAAGTACTTTAAGAAAACGGGCCAAAGAGAAAAGTTTAAAAGCTAAGCTTTTGGAGACTATACTGAAGCATTTACCAGGAAATGTCAGATAAAATACTTCGCTCTCTCACCTTGTGCTGTGCATGAGTATCTCTTACGTGATCTCCAGCTGCTTTGAGTATCTAACTAAATTTTCAAGGCATTTTCATTGATCACGAGCAAATATTCCTCATGAAGTGTAAGCAAAATAAACATCTAAGACCAATACATTTTGTTAGTGTTTAATTTCTTGGATTCAGTACATTGCACAAGGTGGTCCAAAAAGAAAAGCCAGAACATCTTAATGCTTTTACATTTTGGAACACTATGACCAGAATATTGGCAAAATTCAATTTTTAGCTTTTTCTCTCTTTTTGATATACCAGCTCATTGTCTCATTTGCAT